CCATTTTGTTAAATTGGTTTTTTAGCCCATTACACATCTCATCAAAAAGAAAACAAAATTCCTGCCCATAGTCAGCTTGTCTTTAAGATCATAATGTTAGAAAACTTGGTGAGATCATAAGTTTTGGGGTACAAAAAACAGGAGATACAGTTTCACGTTATCCGATTCACATAATGCTTTGAGTTAAAATCGAAATTTCCGACAGCTTGCACCAGTTTAAAATTATGAGCACATACAAGCACACATACAAATCCATGATCCAACCCTAATGTGTTTTTGTCACCTCAGCTATACGAAGACCAATGGAAATTTTTAAAACAGTGAAAAAATAAGCAAAAAAAAAATTTTTTTTTTTGCATTTAAGCATAAATTCTATGGAAGCATAAAGGAAATTTTTAAAACAGTGAAAAAATAAGCAAAAAAAAAAGTCTTTTTTTTGCATTTAAGCATAAATTCTATGGAAGCATAGAGGAAATTTTTAAAACAGTGGAAAAATAAGCAAAAAAAAAGTTTTTTTTTTTGCATTTAAGCATAAATTCTATGAAAGCCTAAAGTAAACAGTAACAAGTATAATCAGTAAAAAGCAAACAATAACAAGTAAAATAATTCTGCTAGTGGGACTGCTCAAATCTAGTTCTTGAAAAAATGAACCTCTGTATTCCTGAATGAATTGATCGATGTCCTGTTTCGTCACCTTTTTGAACATCATCCGACCCCAGGCCACAAGGTCCACATCGTCCGAGCTGATTTCAACATCATCATCTATTATACCTAAAAAAAAACCCCCGTGCATCAGTCATTCTCGCTTACACAAAACACGAAAAAAGAGTATGAGGAGAAATCGAACCTGTTTCATCGTAAACTGCTCGTTTCTGCTTATCGGATAGCACACTGTAGGCGCGATTCAAAATCTGAAATTTCGCGGTTGTTTCAACTTTTTTCGTTTCATCGCTGCATCTGTCGGGGTGAAATCGCACTGCGAGCTTCAAGAACGACTTCTTAACTGAAATCCAAGTTGGATGAGTTTCAAAGCAAAATGTCACCGAAGTACTGTGAAAAATAGTTCAAGCACAGCTCCATGCATATGTAAGCCAAGGTTGTCCGACTGAGGATAACGTGCGTCGTGATGAGCAAAGAGCTCCGAAGTGCTCCAAGAAACTAAAATGATGCGTCCAAAACTGGTCACTGATCGTGATTTTTAACAAAGCGAGTGGAAGGTTTTAACAACAAAGAGACGAAGCTGCCGACTAAACCCCCTTTGCCTTGCCTAGTTACCCTTCGATTCATGTGATATGCAAATGTCCCGTTTCCTGACTCGAGTTCCCCGGCCAAAAGTCTAGTGGTTTTCCACGTTTGCTTTCTGTGAGAAACGGAGACACACGGAAATTAGCCTTAGCAGTAATAATACGTCGTCTTATGCACGTTCTAGTTATGCCATCCAGTACCGGTTCAGCCCCTACATTTCCAAATTCCATCTGTCCACAGGGCCCAAACGGCACGTGGGGTCTTTTCTTTCCCCCTTCCATGATATGTAATGATGTGATCAGAAATGAAATGTTGATTATTTTTAAGCGTCCGTTGTTCTTGGACGGCAATTTGGAGTTGCTGACGTCGCGATGGCGATTGTGGGTTGGTTTTGGTTGCTATTGGTGTGTTTTTATTTTCTTTCTAATAAAACTTTATTTATTAGTTTTTGGCAGCAATTCCCACAGCTGCACCCCTCTCCGCCCACTATCCGATCATTACAAGCCTCAAAAAAGTACAATCCTCAAGTCGCGTTTCTGTGTGCGCGAAAACATCTCGGCAATCTTCCTGTAATCGGTTCATAGACGAACGGGTCTAAAACCTAGCCGGTTCATATTTTTTGAAGTGCAAAACTGAGAAATCAATGCAAGGCCAAAAACAGCCACCAAAATAAATTCTCTGTGAAGCGGTGAAACAAAGAGGTAGTCCGAGTGGTAGCACATGCCAACAGCACCAATTCACTCGCAAAGCTGTCAATGGTTCTCTAATAAAGAAATGGTTGGAAACGAGCAGACAGTGGTTTTTCTAGCATGCAGCAGTACCAATGTATCATCAAAACAAAAGAAACAAATGCAAAGAGATAGGTTGCACAAACGGGCGGTAAACAGGGAAACTAGGCCCCTGATGTCCGACGTGAATACAGCTACTTACCACTAGCCATGACGGCATTACCTGACTTCAGAGACTAAAAGACTGCAAAATGCGAAATATCAGGCAATTAGTAAAGCCCGAAATGGCATGGCTAAGCCTGGTTGGGGGACGAATTGCGTGTAATGGGATAAGGCAGAGGTGAGTAGGAAGGGGATCAGAGCAGGGAAGGACCAATTATGCTCGCTTAGGTCGCAAGGGATCATAACAGAGAAGAGGGGACTAGAATGCTCACTGTAAAAAAAGGACCGAGATCTTGCCTGAGGTAAAAACTGAAGAGAGACAGAGGTAAAGATTATGGGTTACAATGGTTTATTGATGTCAACCCAGAAACCAGATGCTAAGGCCGGTAAGCTTGTACATATAATCTATTCCACAAGAAAATCCGATCTTGGCACCCGCTCTTTTCTCCCTTTATCCATACTATTGCGGTTCGGGCAACTTCCACCCAAACTCATAAACAAGCGCATTTTTCCTCGATACGCGCACATTTTGCACAGCCCAGCTGATATTATTAAATGCCAGATTCCAATAGCTAGCAAAACATGAATGGTTTCAAATTAATTCATAAGTTTCGTAGTCCCTGAGGTTGAACTCAACTCAAAATTTGGCCGGAAATGCAGCATAATGGCGTATATTGGCGGCTGATGCGTCGCTTGGCGGCATACAGCGGACTCGTGGGACGGAGGGGTGGGCAATAGCGGGTGGAAAGGAGAGTGGAGCCGCTGGGGGAGGGGGGTGGGCGACGGGGTTGGAGAGGAGAGACTGTTCCTACCCTGGAACTACGCAAAAACTAGGAAGAGAATTGTAACACTGCTACTTAGAGTTACTTTTAGTTTTATTCGACTCAGGCTTTTGTAGCACTGGTGCCCGTGCCGCTGGAGGAAGGGGAAGGAAGCGAAAAACCCATGGCAATGGATCCGCTTATGCGTAACGGGGCCTCTCTTTTCTCGTCTGATGATTGCATTTCTAGCCAGAGTTTTAGCCCGGAACTCACTAAAGAGAGAAAGTGAGAGGAGCCGGGAATCAGCGGCGTCCTAAGCTATTCTCGACGAACTGCAAATTTCGGCACACACTGCTAAATTAGTACCACAGAAGAAGCACGCTACGAAATGGAAGTTCCAAACAATCATAGGCGAGCCCAGGAGAAGTACCAGTGCTGCAAAAGCCCGGGTCTGTTCATAAATAAAACTAAAGTAACTCTAAGTAGCAGCAGTGTTACATTTATTACCCTTCTCATATGTTAGTCTCATTCTCTTCCATCTGCTCCATCACTTTTATTACTTTCATGCTATTAGACTTTCTCTGCTTCTTTTTCTCTTTCACCTATGCTTCTTGCAAATTAGTTACATGTCCTTTCAATGCATGGCGAGTAGGAGGCTGTACTGACGATTCCCACTCCTAACCGCATGCACTGTTCGGTCTGTGTATACAGCTTAGGCATGAAACACAGACTGCATCATGAAATGTCTTCTTATACATGACACCTAATTCCAATCTTTTTATTCCACTATTACAACTCTATTCCTAGTTTTTGCATAGTTCCAAAGTGGGAGGAGGTCCCCGCTCCCCTCTCCCCGAAGAATCTGTCCTGGATCCGCCTATGCAAGCAATGGAACAGTTTAAAGAGGTAGAGGTACGTCCGTGTCGGCGGTGTGTTGACCCCCTCGTGCACGCTGGTGCACCACTGCAACACGCAAAATGGCTTACTTTCGGCTTGGCTGCACTCGTTTCGCTTCGATTTCGATTTTTTCAATTGCAGCAATTCGTATAAATTGGCAGTACCGAAGAGACGTTTTGCGTCCGCCACAAACGATGACATATCACACCGCGCCCTCGCACTCTGAAAAAATATCAGCACATTTACGAGCAACTGAAACCACACATGTCCCCCGAACATGCCGCGCACGAAGCCTTCTATATAATGAAAAAACAGAACAGAGAAAATACATAGCAACGCTCACCAGACTAGCCGGTGCGATCATGCGTTTTGTGCAATTCAGACCATCGAACGATTGCCTATTAAT